TGGGACTACAGGTGCATGCCACTGCACCCGATTAATTTTTATATTTTTAGTAGAGACAGGGTTTCGCCATGTTGGCCAGGCTAGTCTTGAACTCCTGACCTCAGGAGATCCACCTGCCTCAGCCTCCCAAAGTGCTGGGATTACAGGCATGAGCTACCACGCCCGGTGAATAAGGCTTCTATGAACATTTGTGTGTGAATCTTTGTGTGGTTTGGGCACTTGTTTTCATTCCTTATTGGTAATGACAAGGGCTAGAATTGCTGGGATGTAGGTTAAGCACATGTTCATCTTTGTAAGAGGCTGGGTGCAGTGGCTCACGCCTGTAATCCCAGCACTTTGGGAGGCTGAGGCAGGCGGATCATTTGAGGTCAGGAGTTCGAGATCACCCTGGCCAACATGGTGAAACCCCATCTCTACTAAAAATACAAAAATTAGCCAGGCGTGGTGGTGGGCACCTGTAATCCCAGCTACTCAGGCACAAGAATCGCTTGAACCCAGGAGGTGGAGGTTGCAATGAGCTGAGATAGCGCCACTGCACTACAGCCTGGGTAACAGAGTGAGACTGTGTCTCCAAAAAAACAAAACAAAACAAAACAAAAAAACCTGTAAGAAACTGCCAGGCTGTTTTCCAAAGTGTCTGTGGTTTTTTTTGCATTTCTACCAGCAATGTATCAGAGCTTCGTTGCTCTACATCCTTGCCAACACTTGGTATTTTGGTGGTTTTTAAGATCTAGCCATTCTAGTGGGTGTAAAGCACACATCTCTGCCTCATCTATCCCTTACAGTAACTCTTTGGAGATGGAAACTATTTGTAGTGGATTAAGGATGGCCACAAACTCCTTAATTCCTTCCATGAAGGGGTAGAACCCAGGTTCTCTCCCTTGATTCTGGCTGGGCTGTATAACTGCTTTGACCAATAAACTACAACAGAAGTGACACTGTGTCAATTTTCACACTCAGGCCTCAAGACATGTGGCAGCTTCCCTCCTGCCCACTGGACTGCTTGCTCTGAGGAGGTCAAACAGCCATGCTACGAGGAAGCCCACGCCAGCCACATGGAGAGCGTGCACGAGGCAAGTTACACCAACCAGCCCCAGTCAGCCCAGCCCAGGTATCAGACAAGCGATGAAGGAGCCAGCTTCGACTCAAACGAGCTGAGTCCTCTGTGCCCTGCTCCAACCCACAGAATAAATGGGTGGTTGTTCTACATCACGAAATTTTTGGGTAGTTTGACACAGCAATAGACAATCAGAACCATTATCTTCATTTTATGAAGGAAAAAATAAAGGTTCAGAGAGGTAATGTGACGTGTCCATGGCCCCACAGTGGGAGGAATCAGAACGTGAAGTGCCAACAATTGGCATTATATCAAATGTCAAAAGAGGTCCCAGAACAAAGGGGTGAATTTCAGTGACAGGGAGTGATCAGGACAGGCTAGTGGAAGAACTAATAGAGCAGACAGGAAGCTGGACTTTGATTTCTAACAGCCCAATTTTATCAGAAAGGAAGTGGCTTCTCTCTAAACCGTGCAGCCCAAGGCCTGCCTTCTCTCGGATGTGTAAATTGATCAAACAGTGTTTCTGAAGACCGAGGCAGGGACCTGGGGGACAGTGGTCCATGGTGTGACATCACCTGCCCCTAGAGGACCCTACTCGCCCCTAGAGGACCCTACTCATCCCTAGCTTGGATTTCAAAGCAGCTCTTAAAGAGAAAAAGAGGCCCCAAGCTAGGGCTGATCACTGGACACCTCTCTCTGCAGTCAGGTGGTCCCACAGCACACAGCAAACATACCAGGTAAGCCAAGCGTGAACCTCTAGGGGCCAAGAGGATTTCTAGAATATAAATGGCATTGGCACAGAGTGCCCATGCAGGGGCTGTAAGCTCAAACACCCCCAGGGGTCCCAAAAGCATCACATATTTGCAGAACTGGCTGGGCACATCCTGTCAACACAGACACATGGGAAGAGACTGCTTCCAAAAGGATGCATATTCTCTTCCATTTCTTGGAACACGGGATCTTCTTGGTGTGGCTTTATTTTCCCACTTTCAGTAGGGTCAAAAGAACACAGAAACATCATCTATCAAAAATACACAAGCACGTGGCGGCTGTGGAGTCAGGAAGGCTCCCCAGGAGCAGCCAGCACTGCAGCAAGCTGGAAAGCACATTCGCTGCCCACAGCAGGCGGTCGTTTGCTTGCCACGTGACATGGTGGCCAACGCTTGCTAGGTAGGAATGAGTACCCCAGGAGGGCCAGATCTTTGCTTTTCTGAAAGAAGCCAGAACTCCAGATTTTTCACATGAAATTCTAAAAATGTCACAAGCTAATGCCTTTTTTTCCCCCGCCAGAAACATCAAATTATCTGCAGGCAGGATTGGACCTGTGGGTCATCTGCATGTGGCCGCAGGATTAAATCTTTCCATGAAGCATCTCCAGGCTTCGAGTGAGGAGGACCTGCCCGATGCTGCCTGCAATCTTGAGTCTCCTGGCAACACAGACACACACTTCCCACCACAGGAAGCTGCGATGGTTTTTCAGGGCTGGGCCACATGGGTCTCTCTCCACCTGTCCACACGGACTCCTGCCCCCAGCCCTCTTTAGGCTGATGCTGGGTCTCCTTGCACAGAATGCCCACATGGATGACGGGATGGGATTTGAGAACAAAGGTATCCCTGGAGCATCCATCCACACCATCCTCCCAACCTGCCTTCCCTGCCCGCAGCCACGATCCTCCACCCAGTGCCGAGCCACACCACATCCCTGGCCTCCCCACCTTTGCACAGGCTGGTCCCTCCGCCTGAATGCCCTCCTTCCCAATCTGTTGAATTCTTTGTTTCTCCTTCCAGTCCCAGATTCATTACCACCTGTTCTACAAAGCCTTCCCAATTTCCTAGGCAGGACTTAACACCCTGGCTCTGGAATCCCTTCACACCTTGACCTTACCTTCACGACAGCACTGTAGCATGGGATGGCACCAACTGGTACCCAAATCAGCCTTCCCACATACACTGGGGCTTGGTGGGGATGGAGATGGACTGAACTGTCTCTGCCTACTCAAGCTTATCACGGAGCCCATTCCTGGGAAAGTGCCCAATACAGCCAGGCGTGGTGGCTCACGCCTATAATCAATCCCAGCACTTTGGGAGGCTGAGGCGGGAGGACTGCTTGAGGCCAGGAGTTCGAGACCAGCCTGGTTCACATGGTAAAACCCCATCTCTCTACTAAAAAATACAAAAATTAGCCGGGCATGGTGGCACATGTTTGTAATCCCAGCTACTCGGGAGGCTGAGGCAGGAGAATCACTTGAACCCGGGAGGCAGAGGTTGCAGTGAGCTGAGATCGCATCATTGCACTCCAGCCTGGGGGACAGAGGGAGACTCTGTCTCGAAAGGAAGGAAGAAAGGAAATGAGGGAGGGAGGGAGGGAGGGAAAGACAGACAGACAGAGAGAGAGAGAGAGAGAGAGAGAGAGAGAGAGAGAGAGAAAGAGCCCAATGCATGGTGGCAAAGAAAGGACAATCCAGGCTATTAAAAGCCTGTCTTGTTACTTGGCTCCCACCTGGACCCACATCTGAACATAAAACTTGACTCAAGAGAAGAAACCACATAGTTCCTCTTGGGATTTCCGCTGTGACCCTAGAAGTTGGGCTGAGGTCTGCTGAATATATAGGGATGACTCAGTGCCTGCTGTCTAGGGTGGCTTTGTGCCAGGCACAAAGGAAGGTGTTCAATGAACACCTGGGGCTGCTGTTACTGTTACTCCCTTGGGTTCTCACAAACATTCTCAGGGTCCGGACATGGTGCTTCTCAGGGACATAAACGCATACCACTGGGCCCAGGTGGGCAGGCTTCCTCCATTCTGGGGAGACACAGGGCTTGGTCACAACATGGAGCACTTTGGGCCTCCAGGCAGACACCTCAAGCCCAGGTTACTGGTTTGCCTCTAACAAGCTTGGGAGCTTCTAGAAAATTCTATCAGTGCTCCTGGGGGCTCCTCACCTGGCTGGCAGCAATCCTGGGAACACTGGGATCTAGAAACAATTTTTCTTTTCTTTTCTCTTTTTCTTTTTCTTTTTTTTTTTTTTTTGAGACACAATCTTGATCTATCACCCAGGCTGGAGTGCAGTGGTGCAATCTCAGCTCACTGCAACCTCCGTCTTTTGGGTTCAAACGATTATCCTGCCTCAGCCTCCTGAGTAGCTGAGATTACAGGTGCCTGCAACCACACCAGCTAATTTTTGTATTTTTGGTAGAGCCAGGGCTTCACCATGTTGGTCAGGCTGATCTTGAACTCCTGAGCTCAGGTGATCTGCCTGCCTTGGCCTCCCAAAGTGCTGGGATTACAGGTGTGAGCCACTGCACCCAGCTTCTAGAGGCAATTTTTCTAGAGACTCTGGCTTGGAAGGCCTTGTCTTCTGGGCCATTGTCTTCCATCTTCCGCCTCAATCAGGCTAGGAGATTTGGGCCAACCAGGCAGAGGAGGAGGTAAAAGCAGAGAGAACAGAAAGATTCAGGAGGGAACTCAATGCCCAACTCCACTGCGGGCTGTGGCCCAGGCAAGAGGCTCCTCCTAGGCCTCACAGGCCTGAAGCCATTTCCTGGCTGTCTCCATGTTTGCACAGGGGACGGTGCAGAGCTGAGGAAAGTTAAATATAGTCTAGTGTCCCCGCTGAACGGCTCCCTGCATCGGTGCCCGAGAGTGCCACCTTGTGGTCCACTCCTGGCTCCTCTGCGGAATAAAAACCATCTCGGGGGAAGGACGAGATCAAGATGGCCGCCTCAGGAAGCACTTGGGGTAGAGAGAGAGAGAGAGAGAGAGAGAGAGAGATTGAGAGAGAGAGAGAGAGAGAAGTGTTTGCACGTGGTTTTCCTCTCAGCGCTGGCTGCTGCCCCATTCCTTCTGGTTGCTAACTCACCACCAAAATGGCTTCCCCAGAAAACTCCAGCAAGGGCCCGAAGTCTGGCCTGGGCCTAAATCCACGCCTCCCAGGCAGCCACTCACCAGGTCAGCCAGGCTGCAAAACTCTTCCAGCCTGAGGAGCATGCCCTCGATGGTCTCCTCCACCTCCTTCGCCTGAAAAAGAGACGACATCCGGGAGATTAGCAAGTGGTTTCCAGGGAGACAAACACTCTTCCTTTTTTTTTTAATTTTTTTTTTTAAGCAAACTAAGTCTTAGGATTATGTGCCCAGTTCCTGCTCGACCCCCTTCCACTGCCTCCTTTGAAAGAGCAATAAACGGGCAGCAGTCCTGGCACCCATCACAGAGGACTGGTTAAAGCCACCACGGCCTCTCCATTCTACACAGCTTTCAAAAGAGACAAGATCAACAAATACAGGAAATAAGCTACTCTTACCCTCCACATTGTACAGATGAGGCTCAGAGAGGTGGGGCGGCCTACTCAAGATCACAAGGTTAACAAACAGCGCGGGGCAAGAATCCTAATCCAGATGGAGTCCGCAGCCTCACAGCCTGCTCTAATAAACACAGTGGCCCCGGTGATACCCCGGAGAGGAAAAGCAAGCTGCAGACAGTGCCAGATACAAACCATACCCCATACCAAAAAAATGTCTCAGGCGGGCGGATCACCTGAGGTCAGGAGTTTGAGACCAGCCTGACCAACATGGTGAAACCCCATCTCTACTAAAAATACAAAAATTAGCCAGGCATGGTGGTATGTGCCCATAGTCACAGGCTGAGGCTGGAGAATCGCTTGAACCCGGGAGGCGGAGGCTGCAGTGAGCCGAGATCCCACCACTGCACTCCAGCCTGGGCAACAGAGCGAGACTCCATCTCAAAAAAAAAAAAAAAAGTACCTGTCTCCACAGAGAAAGGCCTGGAATGATATGTGCCAAACTGCTAATAGTTAAGAGATGTGCTTATACTAAAACAATTATTTGTTGTTTATCTGAAATTCACATTCAACTGGGCATCCCATAGTTTCTTTGGAAACCCTATTAATAGGGTTTACTTAGCCCTGGGCAGGAGGAGTTGGGAAAGGGACTCTGACAAGGGAAACTTGAATTTTTTATGTTATGTAAAGGGTCCGTGGCCAGGAGCAGTGGCTCATGCCTGTAGTCCCAACATTTTGGGAGGCCGAGGCAGGAAGATCACTGAAGTCCAGGAATTTGAGACCAGTCTGGGCAACATGGTGAGGCTCTGTCCCTTTAAAAAAAAAAAAAAAAATTTGGCTGGGTGCAGTGGCTCACACCTGTAATCCCAGCACTTTGGGAGGCTGAGGCGGGTGGATCACGAGGTCAGGAGATCAAGACCATCCTAGCCAACATGGTAAAACCCCGTCTCTACTAAAAATATGAAAATTAGCCAAGTGTGGTGCACCCCTGTAGTCCCAGCTACTCAGGAGACTAAGGCAGGACAATCTCTTGAACCTGGGAGGTGGAGGCTGCAGTGAGCCACTGCACTCCAGCCTGGGCAACACAACGAGATTCCATCTCAAAAAAAAAAAAAAAAAAAAATTAGCCAGGCATGGTGGTGCATGTCTGTAGTCCCAGCTACCCAGGAGGCTGAGGCTGCAGTGAGCAGTGATCGTACCACTGCACTCCAGGCTGGGCGACAGAGTGAGAACTTGTCTTTAAAAAAAAGAGAAGAAGAAAAAACACCCAGTCATCAGGCCGGACATTAAAATACATGAGTGAAGCAGGCCATCGGGCTTGTGGTGATCTCAGAGGTGCTCATCCAGTCCTCCAGCTGCTGGCCACTAGCCGCCATCAGGAAATGCAGGCCCAGAGCTACCAGATCTTCCATTTTCTAAGAGAAGCCAGAAATCCTAATTTGATAGGAAATGCCCCAATGTTAAAACATGGGAACACATTTAAAAAAATCCTTTAATGCTCCACAAATGAAGCCAATCACAAATGTGCAAAGGGTCTGCCAGTGTACAACTGCTTCATGCGCTTGTGTAAAAATTAGGGAAATAATTAGGGGTTTGGCCAGGTGTGGTGGCTCACGCCTATAATCCCAACACTTTGGGAGGCCAAGGCAGGCCAATCATCCGAGGCTAGGAGTTTGAGACCAGCCTGACCAACATGGCGAAACCCCGTCTCTACTAAAAATACAAAACGTAACCGGATGCGATGGCATGCGTCTGTAGTCCCAGCTACTCAGGAGGCTGAGGCAAGAGGACTACTTGAACCCGGAAGGAGGAGGTTGCAGTGAGCCGAGATTGTGCCACTGTACTCCAGCCTGGGTGACAGAGCAAGATCTGTCTTAAAAAAATAATAATAATAAATTAGGGTTTTTTTTCCTCCCAAGTATCTACTACTTTTACAACTTCTAAAATACCAGTTTCTGTTGTTATTTTTGTAATGGCCAGCATGCAGGAAGAAAGTTCACCCAGCACATGATTTGCTTTCCCTACCAGGCCACACCGTCCTGCTCCAGGGAGGCGTGTTCAGGGTTTCTGGGCAGGCCTCGTCCCTGCCTCCTGCACCTGAAGGCTCCCTCACCACCCACTTGTCCCCAGAGAACTGTTTATATAGCACCAGTTCCTGCTGCTTCCAGCATGAGCCATCTCCACCACAACAAAATAAACGACTGCGCAAAAAAACATCTTTCAGGCTGGAGTATAAATAGTACCCAGTTGCAATTTTAAACTCTGCAACCTTCATCTCACAGCTGGGACTATTTCTGTGCCTCAGTGCGGGAGAGGGGAGAGAAGACTCAGAAAAAGAAAGATCATCCCCTCACCCAACCCCCAAATTCAATTACAATGAGAAAATGTCATTATCGCACTAAGGGAGAAAGGATGGAGCCAAGAGGTCACTGTGGTGGGAGGAGAAGGTTGGTTATTCTTTCTGATCCAGGGGAAAGAGAGGAGTGGGGCACAGCGGGTGATGGAGAGATCCTGGGGCTGCAGGTGCTCATAATGCAGACCTGGGTCCAGACGCGCTTAAGAACACACAACCTGCATGGGAGGCCACGGAAGCCCACGCCCCAGCTGGGTGATGCCTCCTTCCCAAGATGTGTCTGCAGCGCTGTGCTTGTAGGAAGCGCATCGAAACCCATCCTGGCCCGCTCAGGAAGGGCGTGGCGTGGTCACGGCACTGCTGGGTTCACCTTACCCTCTGCCAGTCATGCAGCTGGAACCCAATGGCTTAACCTCTGCATTTCACTGCTGCTGGATCCCCTGTGACAGGAACCATCATGCCCGTTTGGCAGAATGCTCAGGAGGTTAACCCGACATCATAGATGTGGTTAACAGAGTGCTGACACACAATAGGTGCATGATAAGGGGTTGCTTTCCGCAGCTCAATTTCTTTTTTGTATTTTAATTTTTGTAGAGACAGGGGTCTCGCTATGTTGCCCAGGCTGGTCTCAAGCTCCTGGCCTCATGCAATCCTCCTGCCTCAGCCTCCCAAAGTGCTGAGATTATAGGCATGAGCCACTGCACCCACCCCATCTCTTTTACCATAGAAGAAAACCAAGGACTAGACACTGTATTTGAATTACTTCATTTACTTCTCACAAGAACCCTATGCAGTAGGTGCTACTATTTCCCTCTTTTTATGGATTGAGAAACAGAGGATCAGAGAGGTTAAGTCCCTTGCTCAAGCTCACACAGTTAATAAATATTGAAGCCAGAATTTGACCCTGAGCACTCTAACTCCAGAGCTAGAATGTGTAATAAGATGTTCTCTGGGGCTGGGTACAGTGGCTCACGGCTGTAATCTCAACACTGGGAGGCTGAGGCCAGAGGATCGCTTGAGCCCAGGAGTTCCAGTCCAGCTTGGGCAACAGGGGGAAACTTTGTCTCTCTAAAAATAAAAAGAAAACTAGCTGGGCATGGTGGTGCACACCTGTGTGGTCTCGGCTACTTGAGAGGCAGAGGTGGGAGGGTCACTTGGACCTAGGAGGTTGAGCTGTGATGCGTCACTGCACTCCTGGGTGACAGAGCGAGATCATCTCAAAACAAAAACAAGATGCTCTTGGGGGAGGTTAGAAATGTGTCCCCTTCATTGCTGCTTGTCAGCTATAATCAGTCCTCCACCTCACTCCCTAGTACCTAGGGAGGTTCCCAAAAGCAGGAGGGAGCAAAGTGAGCATTTGCCGACTGTCTGGTCAGCAAAGGGAGAAACAAGCCCGACCAACCAACAGGAAGAAACATTCCCAACCAACAGGAAGGTGCTCAGGATAAGCCAGCCCACCATGCCCACAAATCATCCATGGGGCAATTTTCTCTCAAGATTATCCCCTAAGTGGCCTCAGAAATGAGAGTCCCACAGGCTGCAGCCCACGTGCCTTTTTAACCAGCCTGTGAGCCGATGAATGCCCTCGCTGTTCTCTGCAACCCCCTGGGCCTAAACTGCTCCACTCAGAGGGGAAGGAGGCGAGAGGCTCACTTTAAGTGACATTCAAGGAAGGACCAGTGGAGATGGTGAGTGTTGTTTTTTTTTTTTTTTAAACAAACACCTGCAAATCATGGTTTTCACTGTCTTTTCCCACATCCCCCCTTCTCACAAAGTGGCAGTGCAAACTTCCCAGCTGGGAATGCCCAGACATTGAAGAGGGGCTGGCCCTGCTCACCAAGGGTCTGGCACAAAAAAAAAAAAAAAAAAAAAACACCCAAAAAGGTCCCCACCCATTATCTTCTCTAACTCAACAAATGGAAACTCCATCGTCCCCTTGCTCAGGCCAAATACTTCGGAGCACTCTCAACTCTTCTCTCCCACCTCCCACCCCAACCAATCTGCCAGCAAATCCTCTCAGTTCTACCTTCAAAATGTCACTACCCAAATCCAGCTACTTCACTCTCTCTGCCATACAACCAAGCACCATGGCGCACAGCACCACTGTCTCTTGCTAGGACTGGTGCAGTAGCCTGCTCACTGGTCCCAGCTTCCTGTTCTCACTGCCCTTCAATCTACTCTGTGCAGTCCTGTTAAAACAAAAGCCCTGGCTGGGCACAGTGACTCATGCCTGTAATCCCAGCACTTTGGGAGGCCGAGGCAGGCAGATCACGAGGTCAGGAGATCGAGACCATCCTGGCTAACACGGTGAAACCGCGTCTCTACTAAAAAATACAAAAAAATTAGCCGGGCGTGGTGGCGGGCGCCTG